GTTAACTTTTTTGGGAGATCCTCTCGAATTTCTGCCAGTTCATTCCCGTCTTCAAGCGTGATCTCATGTGTGTTAAAATTTTCAAACACGGACCATATTTTCTTTCACGGAAAGGTTACGATTTAGTTTCTACATCAGCGTCGTTCTCATTCAAACAAAGCTAGGTTAAAATCTGGAGACATCTCAGTCCTTAGGGTTTACAGATATATTCTTAAGTGTATTCGGTCAAAACTAAGAGCACTGTAAGTATTCACTCGCCAAAGTGACGCTTGAGTCTTTTGAAAACTGGACATTGTGTCTGGCTCGGAGTCGCTTCTATCTTTCTTTCGTTGGTCTTTGGAAAAACACTGCAAATGACAAATAAGCGCGTCGAGATGATCGGGTGCAGGCATGTTTGTTGTCATATTTGTCGAAGGAATTACTCATTTTCTCTTAGGCAAAACATCTCGAATCTCTACCAGTCGATTTTCGTCTTCTTAACTGTGTACTACGATAAAATTTTCAAACACTGACTAGAATCCTCTTCGATAAGATTACGAGTTAGTTTCTTCATCGCCTTTGTTCACAAATAAACACGGTTTAAAATCTTGAAGGACAAAGTCAAAATCTAAGTCCTCAATAATAAAACCATAATAAAACTCAAGGTTGGTAGACGTCTTGTAACTTAATTTCAACCTTTTTTCCGAGGTAAAGAGATTTAGAGCTCCGAAATGAGCTTTTCTTTGAAATTTTGGTCCGTATAGCAAGTTACGGGCCGCAAACTCAGCCATTATAATAATAATCACTTTTACGTCGATTCGTGTTCGTGACACTCTGGTTATTAAAAATCGCATAGACTGGGATATTAAAACATATCTTACTTTAATAAACTCTCTGCAAAAATTTTACCCCACCTTGATGGAACTGTGATGAAACTCTCGTTCCTTTTATATTCCTCAGGACTGCTGTACTTTTCTGAGGATAACAACTCACACCGCAACTTTCCATCTGCTCCTTTGTAAGCCGCCAGGTTGAAGGACAAACAGGAAGGATTGCCGAGGCATTCAAAGGTGCAGTCAAGGCTGTCATACACTGTGAATGTTCCAACTTTAGGAACGTTTAAATAATAGTACTCTTCCTTTATAAAGACATCTTGACGAAGGCTGTGATGATACATGGTGGTGAATTCTGAAGAATCATTTATAAGAAAGAATGGTTTTAAAATTTTTAGAATGCATGGGTCGTGCATATAAGACATCTCTTAATTTAGGGAGTTCCTGGCTGTATGAATGGCTTTTAAAACTGAACGCGTTATGTGAACTGGAATTCAAACACCTTAGCTGAAAGTAAAACCTAAATTTTAGGAAGTGTCATACATTTCTCTAACATACCGGCCGCAATTTTCAGCGATTTTTAAAGTAATTAATCAAGCGAAACAGAAAAAGAGCCATGTTAGTTAGTGACAAAATACTATCCGCGGGCGTTGTTTTACATGCATATCGTTATAATGAGGAAAACTTGTTTGCCTTCATCTTCCCTGAACTGGCCTCTTCATAGATTTTCCTCTGATTTAAACTAAATATTTTGACTCGACTATCAATAAAGCGAAGAAAAACCAACCTTCCAGTTGAGCAAAGACTGCATTGGGTATCGCAGAAAACAACGGAAGGAGCTGGAAGAAGGATAAAGAGAACATCTCAGATTGGTGAAACTGTTCACGGTTGACAAACGTGGTAAAATTAGTGGATGAACTTGAACAAACACTGCCAAAACAGTGTTTTGTAAAGTGATAGCCGTTCTAAAAACCGTCAGTTTTTTATGTAGTATTAAATGTTTGTTATTCATGACTTTATTCGTCTAATACGTCGCTTCAGTCTGGCAGGGCCAATTAATGACAAGTCTTGAAACCAACGTATTGGTTACTACGATTAAGGCTCAGAAAAAAATAACCCATTCTTATAAACACAAGACATAAAAAACGTCGCCTGGGTATTGCCCCCTTAAAGGAGACGTTACCAAAATTGATGATTTTTTTAGCTCCAAGCCTCTTTGGCGTTAGAAAATATCTTTACAGTTTTCTGCACTGCCATTTAATATGGCTTTATATCAAACCACTTCTTCTTTAACAAGTTTATATTAATTAAAACGTCTCGAAGTTTATTTTTCTTTAGTTAACCGTTGACATACAACATAAAAAGCATAAAACTGAGACGGACTCAGCAAATTATTTTTAGGATGATTTGGGGTGGAGGGAAAGTTATAAGTTCAGAAGAGACTTTATGTTTAGTCTTTTCATAAATGCCTTATTCTGCCATCAACGATGTCACCGGTCTGAATAAAAGCGCCAATCAGAAGCCATCGCAAAATCATTTTCTATGCGTTCAAAAATCTAATTACAACTATTACTTTTCTTTCAAAAAAAAATTTACATCGAATCCTTTATATTCCTTTTGAAAATCGAAAAATGACAGGTTCCCTTTAGCTTTAAACAAGTTCTTGAAAATGTTATTTCAACGCTAGGGAGTGCTTAATGGGTTTTTCGACCAATACAGTGAAAATTAAATTAATATGCTTTATTAGTCTTTATAAACAGTATCTTTTTGACGACTTGCCAAGCAGAAAGAATATACTGTTCAGTAAGTCTTTACAGACCACGTGGGTTTTTTCGATCATTAGCACTGTTATGTTTAGTTTAAAGTCTTAAATATTTAAGTATGTCTGCTGCATTAATAGTAGTAAGGGAAATGGTCATTGCAGTACATTCTAGTACCCCTTCACAAAGGGGAATAACCGGAGAAATGACAGAAAATACAAATAATAAAATCCTCGAATATGCCAAAAACTACAAAAAAGAATGGCTTTTCATAAGAGGGATTAATAAGAGTTGTGAAATGTTAATAAAAAAGATTGTAAACAGTGATTATTCTGATGAAAAAATTTTTTCATCTCCAGGAACAAAAGCACTTGTTAGGGATTTTAAAATAGTTTTGGCATTCGAGAGAATGGGTAAACTTCAAAATATTAGTGAATTAAAGTTTAAATATAATGTTGCTAATAACATAGAATGTTTAGAAGAAGAACTGGATAATTATAGAGATTTATATGTAGATCCAGGTAGTTATGAGTTTGATGAGGAATCTTATGAAAAAAATATAGATAAAGACTTTCCAGGTTTTAGAGAGCTTTTTGATACTATTTGTTTATTTAATAATAAAATAAAAAGAGACGAAGAAGAATATATTGGTATTATTTTTGAAAGTGACGAGAGTGAAAGTGAAAGTGAAAGTGATGATATTGAGAATATATTACCTGGCAATTATTTTGAAAGTGACGAGAGTGAAAGTGAAAGTGATGATATTGAGATTATATTACCTGGCAATTTTTTTGAAAGTGATGAGAGTGAAAGTGAAAGTGAAAGTGAAAGTGATTAAAAAAAAATGGCTTAAAGGTTTACGTCCTCTAATATAATCATATATTAGAGGACGTCATGTCTAACCAAGCAAATGGTTCGTGGGCCAGTGCGCCCTTTGTTACAGATAAACAATTTCAGAATTTGTCTTTAGATGAAATAAGGCAAATAATAGAAGCAGAAAAAGAAGCGCTTAAGAAAGATTATAAAGAATTAAATTCTAGAAAAAGATTAATTAAACTATATAGAAGAATAACAAAAGCTAGAGAAAAAGTTAGAAAAGGAATTGATATAAAAAAAGAATATAAGAAGAAAAAAAAGATAAAAACATTTGAAGAGTATTTTGAGGAATGTATAAAAAATAAAGAGATTCCTAATACATTTGAAACGCTTTCTTCACAGCTAAAATTCAAATTTGGCAAAAATATTTGAACAGACTTGCAATAACATTGCCAAGGAGTCATACAATTTACATTTGTACTTAAAAAAGTCTTAAAAACTTACTCGTTTCTCCATCATGTAGGACTTGCAGTTACTCGTAAATCTTCTACGGGTAAACTGGTGTCTACCCCGGAAAAACGGCTGTTTCTACCGGGTAAGGTCGATGATGTCACCACAAAATGAAAAAAAGCATGGCGCTACCCGTTACCCGTACACCGATTTCGGGGTATCTTAAGGTCTCTATTGTCGAAGGATTCGCTCGTTAACTTTTTTGGGAGATCCTCTCGAATTTCTGCCAGTTCATTCCCGTCTTCAAGCGTGATCTCATGTGTGTTAAAATTTTCAAACACGGACCATATTTTCTTTCACGGAAAGGTTACGATTTAGTTTCTACATCAGCGTCGTTCTCATTCAAACAAAGCTAGGTTAAAATCTGGAGACATCTCAGTCCTTAGGGTTTACAGATATATTCTTAAGTGTATTCGGTCAAAACTAAGAGCACTGTAAGTATTCACTCGCCAAAGTGACGCTTGAGTCTTTTGAAAACTGGACATTGTGTCTGGCTCGGAGTCGCTTCTATCTTTCTTTCGTTGGTCTTTGGAAAAACACTGCAAATGACAAATAAGCGCGTCGAGATGATCGGGTGCAGGCATGTTTGTTGTCATATTTGTCGAAGGAATTACTCATTTTCTCTTAGGCAAAACATCTCGAATCTCTACCAGTCGATTTTCGTCTTCTTAACTGTGTACTACGATAAAATTTTCAAACACTGACTAGAATCCTCTTCGATAAGATTACGAGTTAGTTTCTTCATCGCCTTTGTTCACAAATAAACACGGTTTAAAATCTTGAAGGACAAAGTCAAAATCTAAGTCCTCAATAATAAAACCATAATAAAACTCAAGGTTGGTAGACGTCTTGTAACTTAATTTCAACCTTTTTTCCGAGGTAAAGAGATTTAGAGCTCCGAAATGAGCTTTTCTTTGAAATTTTGGTCCGTATAGCAAGTTACGGGCCGCAAACTCAGCCATTATAATAATAATCACTTTTACGTCGATTCGTGTTCGTGACACTCTGGTTATTAAAAATCGCATAGACTGGGATATTAAAACATATCTTACTTTAATAAACTCTCTGCAAAAATTTTACCCCACCTTGATGGAACTGTGATGAAACTCTCGTTCCTTTTATATTCCTCAGGACTGCTGTACTTTTCTGAGGATAACAACTCACACCGCAACTTTCCATCTGCTCCTTTGTAAGCCGCCAGGTTGAAGGACAAACAGGAAGGATTGCCGAGGCATTCAAAGGTGCAGTCAAGGCTGTCATACACTGTGAATGTTCCAACTTTAGGAACGTTTAAATAATAGTACTCTTCCTTTATAAAGACATCTTGACGAAGGCTGTGATGATACATGGTGGTGAATTCTGAAGAATCATTTATAAGAAAGAATGGTTTTAAAATTTTTAGAATGCATGGGTCGTGCATATAAGACATCTCTTAATTTAGGGAGTTCCTGGCTGTATGAATGGCTTTTAAAACTGAACGCGTTATGTGAACTGGAATTCAAACACCTTAGCTGAAAGTAAAACCTAAATTTTAGGAAGTGTCATACATTTCTCTAACATACCGGCCGCAATTTTCAGCGATTTTTAAAGTAATTAATCAAGCGAAACAGAAAAAGAGCCATGTTAGTTAGTGACAAAATACTATCCGCGGGCGTTGTTTTACATGCATATCGTTATAATGAGGAAAACTTGTTTGCCTTCATCTTCCCTGAACTGGCCTCTTCATAGATTTTCCTCTGATTTAAACTAAATATTTTGACTCGACTATCAATAAAGCGAAGAAAAACCAACCTTCCAGTTGAGCAAAGACTGCATTGGGTATCGCAGAAAACAACGGAAGGAGCTGGAAGAAGGATAAAGAGAACATCTCAGATTGGTGAAACTGTTCACGGTTGACAAACGTGGTAAAATTAGTGGATGAACTTGAACAAACACTGCCAAAACAGTGTTTTGTAAAGTGATAGCCGTTCTAAAAACCGTCAGTTTTTTATGTAGTATTAAATGTTTGTTATTCATGACTTTATTCGTCTAATACGTCGCTTCAGTCTGGCAGGGCCAATTAATGACAAGTCTTGAAACCAACGTATTGGTTACTACGATTAAGGCTCAGAAAAAAATAACCCATTCTTATAAACACAAGACATAAAAAACGTCGCCTGGGTATTGCCCCCTTAAAGGAGACGTTACCAAAATTGATGATTTTTTTAGCTCCAAGCCTCTTTGGCGTTAGAAAATATCTTTACAGTTTTCTGCACTGCCATTTAATATGGCTTTATATCAAACCACTTCTTCTTTAACAAGTTTATATTAATTAAAACGTCTCGAAGTTTATTTTTCTTTAGTTAACCGTTGACATACAACATAAAAAGCATAAAACTGAGACGGACTCAGCAAATTATTTTTAGGATGATTTGGGGTGGAGGGAAAGTTATAAGTTCAGAAGAGACTTTATGTTTAGTCTTTTCATAAATGCCTTATTCTGCCATCAACGATGTCACCGGTCTGAATAAAAGCGCCAATCAGAAGCCATCGCAAAATCATTTTCTATGCGTTCAAAAATCTAATTACAACTATTACTTTTCTTTCAAAAAAAAATTTACATCGAATCCTTTATATTCCTTTTGAAAATCGAAAAATGACAGGTTCCCTTTAGCTTTAAACAAGTTCTTGAAAATGTTATTTCAACGCTAGGGAGTGCTTAATGGGTTTTTCGACCAATACAGTGAAAATTAAATTAATATGCTTTATTAGTCTTTATAAACAGTATCTTTTTGACGACTTGCCAAGCAGAAAGAATATACTGTTCAGTAAGTCTTTACAGACCACGTGGGTTTTTTCGATCATTAGCACTGTTATGTTTAGTTTAAAGTCTTAAATATTTAAGTATGTCTGCTGCATTAATAGTAGTAAGGGAAATGGTCATTGCAGTACATTCTAGTACCCCTTCACAAAGGGGAATAACCGGAGAAATGACAGAAAATACAAATAATAAAATCCTCGAATATGCCAAAAACTACAAAAAAGAATGGCTTTTCATAAGAGGGATTAATAAGAGTTGTGAAATGTTAATAAAAAAGATTGTAAACAGTGATTATTCTGATGAAAAAATTTTTTCATCTCCAGGAACAAAAGCACTTGTTAGGGATTTTAAAATAGTTTTGGCATTCGAGAGAATGGGTAAACTTCAAAATATTAGTGAATTAAAGTTTAAATATAATGTTGCTAATAACATAGAATGTTTAGAAGAAGAACTGGATAATTATAGAGATTTATATGTAGATCCAGGTAGTTATGAGTTTGATGAGGAATCTTATGAAAAAAATATAGATAAAGACTTTCCAGGTTTTAGAGAGCTTTTTGATACTATTTGTTTATTTAATAATAAAATAAAAAGAGACGAAGAAGAATATATTGGTATTATTTTTGAAAGTGACGAGAGTGAAAGTGAAAGTGAAAGTGATGATATTGAGAATATATTACCTGGCAATTATTTTGAAAGTGACGAGAGTGAAAGTGAAAGTGATGATATTGAGATTATATTACCTGGCAATTTTTTTGAAAGTGATGAGAGTGAAAGTGAAAGTGAAAGTGAAAGTGATTAAAAAAAAATGGCTTAAAGGTTTACGTCCTCTAATATAATCATATATTAGAGGACGTCATGTCTAACCAAGCAAATGGTTCGTGGGCCAGTGCGCCCTTTGTTACAGATAAACAATTTCAGAATTTGTCTTTAGATGAAATAAGGCAAATAATAGAAGCAGAAAAAGAAGCGCTTAAGAAAGATTATAAAGAATTAAATTCTAGAAAAAGATTAATTAAACTATATAGAAGAATAACAAAAGCTAGAGAAAAAGTTAGAAAAGGAATTGATATAAAAAAAGAATATAAGAAGAAAAAAAAGATAAAAACATTTGAAGAGTATTTTGAGGAATGTATAAAAAATAAAGAGATTCCCCCAGATACTCCAGAATATTTACGTAGATCTCTTGAGCGTGCTATGTATGAGCATGAACAAAGTATAAAAACAAAAAAAACAGCTCTTAATGACCTTGCTATTACGTATGTTTTTGAAGGAATTCCTGGTCTTAGACCGCCAGAATTTTTTTCTAGAATTTATGCTAGTTTAATAAATTTAGTGAAGGAGAATAGAAATGTTAAATTAAATTTAGTTTTGATTTGTATGATGGAAAGAATTAAGACTAGAACAGAACAGGGAATTCAAGAATTAGAAGAGTTTAAAACATTTTTTAGATCGAAAACTTATAAAAATTATGAAACATCAAATGAAGAAGAAATATTAAAAAAATGTATTGATAAAATTGTAAATGATGTAGAAGACTTTGCCACAAATGGAAGTGGGTGGTGGTTTAAAGAAGTTTTAGAGCTTCATGTTAATACTATTAAGTTTAATCCAACCAAAGGAACATCTTACATTGATCTTCCTTCTTGGTTAAAAGATAAAAAAGCAATTATTAATTTACAAAACAAAGATGACAAATGTTTTCTTTGGTGTATACTTAGACATCTTCATCCAAAAGAATTACATGCAGAAAGAATAAAAGATTTGGAAAAGTATGAGTTTTCACTTAACACTAAAGAAATTACTTTTCCAATGAAACTAAATAATATTACTAAATTTGAAAAACTTAACCCAGAACTTCCAGGGATAAATGTTTTTTCTAATGATGGAGAGACAATTTATCCTTTGAGAGAGGCAAATAGAGATTGTAAAAATACTATTGATTTATTTTTATATGAAAAAGATGGCGTCTCTCATTATACTCTTATTAAAAATTTTCATAGGTTGATAAAGTCACAAAAAACTACAAGTCATAATGGAGAAATGTTTATTTGTAAGAGATGCTTTAGTCATTACACTAAAGAAGAATTATTAGAAAAACATATTAAATATTGTTCTAAAAATCAAACAGCACTTATAACAATGCCCAAACCAAACACATTTCTATATTTCAAAAATTATCACAAAAAACTTCCAATACCTTTTGTAGTTTATGCAGATTTTGAATGTTTTACTAAACCAATGAATAGTTGCAGTCCTAATCCAAAAGAATCATATAGTTATAATTATCAGAAACATGAACCATCAGGATTTTGCTTTTATGTAAAGGGAATAATCAATAAAAAAATAAAACCATTCATTTACACAAAAACCTCTGAAAATGATGATGTAGCAAAAGTATTTGTAGAAAAACTAGTGGAAGTGACTAAAGCAATTTATAACGAATTTTATAAAAGACCAAAACCTCTTAGACTAACTAGTGAAGATAAAAAATCATTTGTGAAAGCAGTTAACTGTCATATTTGTGGTGGTGAATTAAAAGAGGATAAAGTTAGAGATCATTGTCATTTTACAGGACAGTATCGTGGAGCAGCACATAACAAATGTAATCTTATGTGTCGTAAACCAAAAATATTACCAGTTATATTTCATAATCTTCAGGGATATGATGCTCATTTGTTTATAAAACAACTTGCTAAAATAGATGGTAGACTTGAATGTATACCATCTACTGAAGAAAAATATATTTCATTTTCTAAAATTATTAAAGTTGGAGAGTATAAATATGGTTTTGATGGTGAAAAATTTCCAATAAATTTTGAGATAAGATTTTTAGATTCATTTAAATTTCTTCAAACATCACTTGCCAATCTTGTTTCAAATTTATCAAAAGAAGATTTTCATAATACAAATCATGTATTTAAGAAAAATATAGATCTACTAACTCGTAAGGGAGTTTATCCTTATGATTATGTTTCATCACTTGATAAATTATCAGAAACACAACTCCCTCCCAAAGAGGAATTCTATTCAAAACTAAATGATGAAGATATTAGTGAGGAAGATTACCAACATGCAATTAAAGTCTGGAATACATTTGAATGTAAAACAATAAGAGATTATCACAATCTTTATCTAAAGTCTGATGTATTACTTCTAGCGGATGTATTTGAAAACTTTAGAAAAACTTGTCTCAAACATTACAAATTAGATCCAGTTCACTATTACACATCCCCAGGTCTAGCTTGGGATGCATGTCTAAAAGAAACAGGTCAGAAATTAGAGTTACTACATAATTATGATATGTTAATGATGTTTGAGCGAGGTATTCGTGGTGGAATAACACATATATCAAAAAGATATGCGGAAGCGAATAACAAATATATGAAAGACTACAATCCTGATAAGGAGACAACATTTATTCAATATCTCGACGCAAACAATCTTTATGGTTGGGCAATGACACAACAACTCCCAACACATGGATTTCAATGGATAAAAGATATAACATTAGAAAAGGTAGATGAAATACTAGATAAAGCAAATCATAGTATGTCAAATATTGGGCGAAAAGGATATATATTTGAAGTTGATTTGGAATATCCTCCTCACCTATGGGAAACACATAATGGTTATCCTTTAGCACCTGAGAAGATGATTGTTAATGGTGTTGAAAAGTTAATTAGTCATTTTAAACCTCGAAAGAATTATGTTGTGCATTATCGTACTCTTAGACAATGTCTTGAGATGGGTATGAGAATTACTGCTGTCCATAGAGGAATATCATTTTATCAGTCTCCTTGGATGGAGCCTTACATAAGAAAAAATACAGAACTTAGAAAAACAGCAGCCAACAGTTTTGAGAAAGATTTTTTCAAATTAATGAATAACAGTGTCTTTGGAAAAACAATAGAAAATATAAGGAAAAGACAAAATATATATCTTATTGATAATCGTAAGAAAGCTCTAAGACTATCAAGTCGTCCAAACTTTGATAGATATACAATATTTGATAAAAATCTTATTGCGATTCATATGCTAAAGACAGAAGTGTATTTTAACAAACCAGTGTATGTTGGTCAAGCAATTTTAGATTTATCAAAAACACTAATGTTCAATTTTCATTACACATACATAAAAAAGAAATATGGTAACAAAGCAGAATTATTGTTTACAGATACGGATTCATTGATGTATCAAATTAAAACAAAAGATTTTTATTTAGATATATGTCCTGATGTAAGAGAGAAGTTTGATACTTCTGATTATCCTCTCATCCATCCTTCTGGGATAATTACAGGAGTTAATAAAAAAGTTATTGGAATGTTTAAAGATGAAGTAGCAGGAAAACAGATAACACATTTTGTTGGATTACGCCCCAAACTTTATAGTTTTAAAATTGAAGAGGATAGGGAAGTAAGAAAGTGTAAAGGAGTAAAGAAAAATGTTGTGAAAAAGAAATTAGATTTTGATAATTATGTTAAATGTCTATTTACAGGTGAGAAAGAAATGAGAAGTATGAAAATAATAAGAAGTGAAAAACATGATATATATTCTAAAGAAGTTAACAAAATAGCGTTAAGTAATGAAGATGATAAAAGAGAGGTGCTCAAAGATAATATTCATACTTTGGCTTTTAGATAAAAAAAAATAATTTAAAAGTAAAAAAAGTATAAATAATAAAATGCCTTATACAGAAGAAGAAATAAAAAAAATATTTAGATATACTTCGTAATTATAAAGTTGAGAGGGGTTGTTCCCCCGGTAAAGCTAAATGTAGAAATTGTCCAAATACTGAAAATTTTACAATTGATTACGGTCAAAAAATCTGTAATGAATGTGGAGTATTAAACGGACAAGTATTAGGATTATTTGATATAAAAGATTTGGAAAGGTTGCATTATAGAAAAAAGAGTATTTATCATAGGAAATACCATTATGAAAAAAAGGTTAATCAAATTTCTAAAAGAATAAACCTAACTGATGAAGAAAAATCTGAACTGTATGATAACATAACAAAAATAAATAATCATGTCATGGAAATACTAAACAATAAATACTCTAGAAAGAGAATGATAAATATTAATTATTTAACGAAAAAAATTTTGGAGGAGATGGGGTGTGAAAAGTATAAACTTATTAAACTTAAGATTAGTCCTCAAACTTTAGAGATTTATGAAAAGTGGTGGAATAGTTATAAAGGATTAAATTAATCGTCTAAATAAATATAATCAGTTTCAAATATATTAAAAATATCTAAAAATGCTTTTTTTTTAAAATATAAATCTTCATCTATTTCCATATCTAATTTCAATTTACTCATAACTTCATATATCCTTTCTGTATCAATTTCATCTTTTTCAAAATCTAAATTATTAATATGGTTTAGAGCAAGATATTTTAGGAATTTTTTTTGTTTTACTTTCGTTTTTTCAAAAGTGGAGAGTATATACTCATCATGTAAAAAATCATATACTTCTTTTAGTAGTGATTTAGCAAGATGATTTAAATTTTTTTTTGTAATAATAACAGCTGTCATTTTATTTATAGTTTATATTATTACTTTATGAAAACTCACCATTCCAGCGTACCCAAAACGGGTACGGTGGCTAAAAGTTATTCCAACGTCCACAAAACATAGACGGTGAATAAAAAGTCATTTCTTGGGGGACCCAAAATGGGTACGGTAACAATAAGTTATATATTATGTAAAGATGTTGCTGAAATTCTTGAGTTTAAAGAGACATGTATCATTTAGAAAACAAAAAGTAGGGGGTGTTGAAACACCACCTCAACAAAATGTTGACCCGGCAAATCACCGGGTCAGGTAATTAAAGATAAAAAGAGCTGCCCCCCTGAAACGGGGGGGTCAGGTTCAAGGTAGATGGATTAAAGGAGGCCCTAATTCAAGGCCCCCCTTGGAGGAAAACAAAAATGTATAATTTGTTTAGATAGAAAATTAATAAAGGCTTAAAGAAATAAAATATAAAATAAAATGGAAAATGTTATAGAGAAATCTTTTATAAATCAACAAATTGGAATTAAGTTTAATTCTTACATCGATGAAAAATTTAGAGTATGGTTCAAAGCTAAAGATGTGGCTAAAATACTTGGATACCGAGATACTGATAAAGCTATCCGGATGCATGTAGACAGGGAAGATAAATATAAAGGACCCGCCAAAACGGCGGGGGGTTTACAAAATTGTGTTTTTATAAATGAAAGTGGATTTTATTCTCTTGTATTATCTTCCAAATTAGAGACAGCTAAAAATTTTAAAAGATGGGTAATTTCAAAAGTATTACCATCAATTAGAAAGTATGGTTTTTATAAAAAAGTAGATTTAAAAATAAAACAAAGAGTTATAATTGATGGTGCAAAATACTACAAATATCCTGTTTTTAGCAATTACGCCGCAAGAAAAAATGGTGATATCTTAAGTTTAAAAAATAAAAAAATTATTAAAATGGGGAAATCTAGTGGTTATTTAAATTTTACCATTTATAATGAAAAACTAGAAAAAAGAATAAATTACTATCAACATAGATTTGTATATGAGGTTTTTCAAGGGCCAATACCACGTCGATTTGAGATTGATCACGTAAACGGGATTAAGACTGATAATAGGTTAAAAAATCTACAACTACTCACTCATAAGCAAAATGTTGAAAAAAGTAATAATAAGGCAATAATTTCTATCAATATTAAAGATGGAAAAGAAAGAAGATTTATATCAATTTAAAAAGCTGCTAAAGAATTAGATATTAATTCTACTTATATTTCTAATATTTGTTGTAAAAGAAAATCTTATAAAACAGCAACTTCTAAAAAAGATAATCAAAAATATACATTTAGATACTTAGATTAAAATACTAACTTGGTATTTTAATCTATATATTAAATTTATTTTTATATTTCTCTGCAAAGTTATCCACACTCGATGGACATTGATCAATTATTATTTCATCTAAAATTTTAATTCTATCTATAAATTCTTCTTTACTCCACTCATCTCCTCTGAGTGCTGATCGTAGTTCTACTAATACTTTTTCATAAGTAGTATAAGCAAGTTTTGTTGTTTCTATCTTCTTTTTAAAATCCTTCTTTTTTGTAATTCCACCCACAATTATTCCTGCACCGTTGATTACTCCAAGAATAATAGGATTGAGAGTCAACCCTCCTGTAATAGTACCAACAGCAATAAGAGTTAAACTAGAAATAGAAAAAATATTATCTAAAAATTTGTAACTTTTATAAGATTTTTTATAACACCAATGTTTCTTATGGTAATGTTTATAAAGGTCTTTTATAGTTTCTCTTTGCTCTTCTGATAAAGATTTATCAATATGATTAAATTCAAAAATACTCTTTTTTTTACTATTATTTCTTTTCATTTATATTTACATTATATAACTTCCATTTAACTTTTCCTGAAGCATTACTTTATGATATTGCTCAGAGTCAGTGTCGTAAAATTTTGGAGAGTACATTAATTTTAATAACACTCCATCTTCAGTTGTAAACTTCCAATGTTGATTAGCAATGTAATTAACAGCTGGTATAGTTAATGTTGCGCTGTAGTTACTTATTGAAACTTTTGTGACATTTGCACTTAAATCTTCTGCCAACCATACAACAATTATTTTTCCATCAAAACTACTTAGCATGGTAAAATTTTGAGTTGTTTTATTAACAGTTAAAGTTACTTTATTGTTTGTTTTATTATAATCTAATTTTAACAGTATGTTATTGTTTGTTGGTAAATATTTAGTTAGGGTAAAACTCCTATTTCTCCAATGAGTAAAAACAATACATAAAGTAGTTTTCGAAAAATGACGTGTAGGGGAAAAAGTAACATCATAACCATTAACATGTAAACCATCTTTTTTTATATTACTTAAGTCTTTATTAGGAGGTAGTGTAATATAGGTATTTACCGAATTAATAATAACTCCAGATGAACCTATATTTATTCCGTAACTATCCGCATCAGCAAAGTCATAGACACTAAAAAAGTATAATCTGTACAAAGCATTTTTAGTAAAAGGAGCTAATTCTTTTACTAGTAAAACTGGTGCAGCACTAAGATCATTGTTTCGGTCAAAGTTGATATTTTTAATTAAATGAAAATTTGCATTAATATCAACATTGTACTTCACTTCTGTTGGTTTAATATCAAATGCGGTGTGATAGTCGTAAACTTTATCTGAATCGATATTGCTAAATGTACCCTTAAGACCATAAGCAATCATATAAACCCCTGAAAACTGATTCGGATACGTAGCCAGGTTATATCCACCCCGAAGAATATCAACCAAAATGTGAAGAAAGAACTTATTCCCAGATGACAACTTCCGGAAATTAACTATTATTCTGTGGTAGTACATAGTTTGTGTTTTCCTTTTTGAATCAGTATACTTATGGGATAGTTTTTTTACACTTAAATTTCCAATTGATAATCCTGTTGAAGTTCCTTTGTCAACACTTATTTGTGTATTATTCCAAAGATTATAATCAGTGTTGAGTATTTCCAAACATAGTGTGTAATCAGTATTTGGATCTAGTCTGAAAAAATTAATTCCCATCTTATACTTATATTTACCTTCAGAATTTTTGACTATAGTCATGTAAATAACTTTGTGGTTATAGTCATGAAAATTACCTTTAGAAGGAGATAAGTCTCCTAACTTATATATATAAAAACTAAATCCACTATCCATTTCATCAGTCCATTGAGCCGCACTTGACATGAGGTAACTAAATTCATCTTTATAATGACTTGGTTGAACTGCAGTATGATGAACTAGATTGTCAACATAACTTTTGGTTGCTGCCTCATTGTCTTGGGTTGGTACACCCAGATTCTCTATTTTATTACCACCAAGGTTGACATCAGCTTTTACAACCCCACTTATTACAATTTTAGGTGTGTTGATTTCTATTCTCTTAAGTGGTTTGGTTATTGCTTTTGGTAGATCAGTGAATAAACGACAAGTGATAGCTGTGTGATTGGAATTGTTATGGGTTCTTAGTTTTACTCCTGACATATTATAATTCCAAGACTTGTGTATATTTAATGACCAAGTGCCAGTTCGATTTCCACTTACCCAAAAATTAGAATTGGACTTACTACTGTCTCTGGGAATAAACCAAAGAAAGTCAACATTTATATTTCGAGAACCAAACTGAAATTCTATTTTGTTAATATATGTGTTAGCAGATGGTTTCCACCCCACAAGAGGTTGACCAGGTGCTGATGTTGTAAAAACAAAATCATCAAATGATGAACCTGAGACAAACTGTAGATACAAAGTTGTTGGCGCTTCTGGATCTGTTATGGTAAATACACTACTTGAGGCATCTCCAGAATGATGATCAAACCTTTCTATTTGTTTACGAACCCATCCACGATTAGCAGCTTCTTGATCTGTGGTGGGGTCATTGAGGTTAACTATTTTATTATTACCGAGATTAAGGTTACCAGTCATAGTGACTGAACCATCTTTTTCCAAGTAATCACTTAAATCTGGACTTCCAGCATTATCATCCACATACTTTTTGGTTGCAGCATCTGTATTTGATGTTGGAGTTGCGAGACCAACTATTTTTTTGTTTCCAAGATTTAGGTTACCAGTCATTACAACACTTCCATCTTTTTTTATAAAAGAACTAGTATTAGGTATTGAGTCATCCACATACTTTTTGTTTGTCGCATCAGTGTCTGATGTTGGTGGTCTAAGGTTAATTATTTTTTTATTATCCATGTTTAGATTATTAGTCATTTTATTTGTTCCATTAACGTGAAGATACTTCAAATCTGTGAAAGCTAATGGTGTTGGTTGATTACTACCATTTGGAGCTGGTAGATTAAATATTCGATTGTTGTCCATATTTAGATTTCCTTTCATTGGGTAAGATCCATCTCTGTCAAGAAATGTGTTGTCTACGTAATATTTTGTTGCTGGATCTTTAGAATCCAGTGGTGAGATAAGATTTGTAATTCGGTATGTATCTTTCATATCAATGTTTGAATCAACTGTTAGTTGTGATGTTGAAAGCGATCTACTGGAATTATCATCAACATACTTTTTTGTAGCAGCATCAGTATTAGCACTAGCTGCTCCTACATTTCTTAGTTTTTTATTTATCATATCATAATCACCACTTGAAGTGAGATTAAATCCAACTCCTGGAGCACCTTGAATTCCCTTAGCAAAGGGATGACCAAGAGATTGTTCATTAAATATTCCCATTTTTATTATTAGACTAGATTACCAGTAAAGTTTTTTGCAATACGTTTTCTTGGTTTATCAACATATAGAAATGAATATGGTTTTTTAGTTGCTGCGTGGTAATCTTCTTTACTAACTCCCAACTCAGATGATATTCTGTTGGCTTCCCTAGATGATGGAAATTCGTATAAACAGTAATGAGAACAATTCAACCGAATGTCCTTTGGTGTTTTGTAAAACGATTGACTGAGGTACACAACCGAGCAATTCTTATGTCGTCCTTGAATAAAATAATCAATCAGTTGACTCTGGTTTTTATCACAAACATAATCATCGAATATCACAAGTTTTTGATTGTCTTCATAATCCATTTCTGTCACTGGGATTATTTCATCATTACTAACATGAAGTATTTCATATCCCAATTTATGACTCAACTCCCTCATTTTTTGAATTAACTTTTGATACTTATCCTGTTCTAGATTACGAGCGTAAAGATAAATTTCATCATAGTATAACAATGGTTTAATTAGCATGTGATACAACAGATTAGTCTTACCACTTCCACTGTTTCCACAAATTAACATACGAAACGTATCCGCTGGCATGTAAGGAAATAACTGTTTATATTTTTTATCTGGGTTGTCACCACTATCATAGTTTGGTATTTCCATTTATCTCATGATTAAATAATTTGTGTAGCAACAGGGGGGTTTGGGGGGGATGCAATCCCCCCATTCCATTTATCTAAGGAATATATAAATGAATATTGAAGAATACAAAAACCTTGCAAGAAATAAAATTGAAGCTGATGCAATGACTCAACAGGTGAGAGATGTTATAAAAACAACAAAATGGCAAAAACAAAATATAAGAGAGGGTTTTACAGAAACATTTAAACCACTTATTGAATCACAGGATAACATTAAAAAAAGTATTGATGAGAAGCAAAACGCAACTATAGCACAACTTAAAGCTAATCAACTTGCTCTTACACAAGGTCTTAATCAAAACAGACTTGCTATAACTGAAGGATTTGATAAAATGGATGAGGTAAAAAAATGGGATTTGACTCAATTACCTAGTTTTGAAGCAATTGATGAGTCAAAAGAAGATGGTGGAGTTTTACCCTCTACATCAGATGAGGGACCAAAAATAGCAAAATTTAAAACTGAAGACCTCAATAGATATTTAAATAGTAAAGATTCACAAGATATACTAAGAACTAATGAATATCACAAACTCCCTTCTGAGTATTTTAAAGAAGATGTTTCTACCATTAATAAAGTAATTGATGATGTTAACGAAGATTTAGAAGATTTGAGTGCAAGAATAAAAAATACTGCAGATTTTGTACGAGACGCAAACGGTTATGTTTTAGCTCAACCAAAAAGTAAAAAACCACGAGAAGAAACATTAGATTACATAAAAAATTTTAACATATTAAGCATATATGCAACAAATTTAAGTAAT